CCCAGACTCTGCATGTGACCTCTTATACTTCCTTATGACTCCCTTCCTTGCTTTGCTATTGTTCTTTGGAATCATCTTACTCATCCTCTTCGCATTCCGCGGTATTCCGCATTTCTTATGACTCAGTTTTATCTCTTGTCCCAGACTTGTCCCAGAGTATATCCAGAGTATCTACAGATATATAAGCTAGCTAGATTTCTGTAGTAGATACTCATCCGGAATCTCAAATCAGACTTATACAGAACTTCTCGTCTTGAGCCTTCAGGCTTGCTAGAGCTTTTCCGCATACTCCGCATTTCCGCGCAGTGCTCCTGATTCCGCTCCGCAAGGCTCTCTTTTCTCTCTCCTCGTCTTCCACCGCAAGGCGCGTCTCTCTCTCCCTCTCCTCCCCTCTCCTTTCGGGTTGGACCATATACCACCAGCGTGGGCACAACGCAATACGTTGAGGCCAAGGTCCCTTCGACTCCGCAGACTCCGCAGTTCCGTAGAGTCTAACAGTGTTCCGTAGAGTCTAACAAGCGCCCGCTTTTCTCTCAATCCACCTATCTTGACGTCTGTAGTCCTGTTTTCGTGTCCTCCAGGCCATTATGGCCATAGTTCTTGGGCCATTGGTGCTGGAGGACCATCTGCAACAATTGAGGACAGCCAGGCTTAGCTTTCTTGTCGATATTTCCTTGAAAATTGCCAATGATTTCTCATCCAAGATCCCGAACGAATGGATCTGCACCCTCCCTGCCGACAATCACGACCGAAAGATATGCTATCGTGCTATTCTAATATGCTGGGCTGTTACTGGAGAACTGGTTCCTAGGGTGATGCAACTGAAGGCTGTTCTTGCTATACAAAATGGGAAGTATGTACTGGTCTCGGCAGGCACTGGCAGTGGGAAGACATTACCAATGGCTCTCAACATTCTTCTTGACGACCCCTCGATGCACTATCTCACAATAATCTTGTGTCCTCTGAAAAGACTCCAAAAAGCCCAGGTCGAGGAGTTCACTTGGCGCTTCAAGATTTGTACTGTTGTTATCAATGAAGATACACCTCGGGATGAGCGCTGGTATTCTGTACGCATATATGCGCTGCTTTTATTTTTTTGGAGCGCTACTGACATCTCTGGTGACCTGAACTTGAAAGAAATATCTCTGGAACTCTGGAACTAAAACACGCAGTCTGGCAAAACTGGCCATTGTCACGACGGAGCAACTGGAGAAATCAAGCGCTGGCCATTGGTCCTCGATGGCAATTCTGATCCGTGACCCCTGGTTCCAGCGTTACATCGCTCGGATTAACGTTGATGAGGCGCACTCCATCCATATCGATGGTCTCGGTCATTACGGGCTCTGGGGCAATCTTGATGTTCTTCTGAATCTCCTGCCGCAAACAGTCCGCTGGTCACTCTTTTCTGCCACAATTCTGCCACATATTCTCGTGACTGTCCAGAAAAATTGCTTCCCAACAACTTCAAGCATATTCACGTCACATCCAACAGGCCAAACACTGTCTACGCTCTTCATCAGGTCGACAGTATTGAGAACATGGCCAACTATCGATGCTTTGTGGCTCATCCCTTCTCTCTTGCCAACCAACCCCGTGTCTTGATCTTCATTGATGACCGCAAGCTCGCAGCCAAGATTGTGACATATCTCAAGAGTCATGTGCCTCCGAAATATCGCGCAGGAAGCAAGCACCTCATCTGACATTATCATTCCACCATGTCAGAGCTCTTCCTCGATGAAACATATAAGGAATTCACGGCTCCTAACGGTGGATGTCGTATCCTTATAATGACTTCCAGTAATGCTGTGGTAAGTGGGTATTATTTCGGTTATAGACAGGACTAACTATTATCAAGGGTGTCGACTTTCCAAATGTCAAGATTGTTTGCAATGTTGGCCTGCCATCAACAGTGGTCAATCTTTTGCAGCGGGGAGGACATGCGATCCGGACAGGAAATGAACAGGCATTGTTTATTATTTTCTACGAACCGTGGGTAATGGACATTGACCTTAACAACTACAATGGTGACGACACCGACATCCACGATCCAGATAGACCCCGAGTACATGCCCGTACAGTTGGCAAAATCTCAGTCATTGACAAGAAGGATTGTGTTCCATTTATTCTCGTGAAGCTTGTACAGCAGAGACCCTGTGTGCGTGACACATTTGCAGGCTATCTCAAGGATGAGAGTCCGGAAGGCAAGTGAACTTGCATTTGTGCGCTGAATTATGCTAAATTTGCGGACGGTTCTTTAGCGTTGATCTGGACTGGGTCCTACTGTTGCAACTGTGGCGACCACTTGTTCCTGCATCCTCTAGATTTTGATCTCCAAAGTCTTCTTCCTGGTCCGTTATTTGTGGACACGGATATGATGGATGTCGACAAGGCTACTGGCTCTAGTTCTGGCGGACACGGCTACCACCGTCTGGTTGAACGGCCATATCTTGAGCACGCCCTCAACAAGTGGCTCGAAGAAGCCCATCGCAATGATCCCCTCACATTCGCTTGACCACCTCACCTTATTCTCTTGGATCAGAAACGTGCTCTTCTTCTTAAGATCACGAAGTCGAGCATCAAAGCTCCATCAACACTTACTCAGATTCTCAATGAGACTCCAGAATGGGAAGAAGGCCCACCCACCTCCAGTACCGGACCCTGAAGCTGAACAACCAGCAGCATCAATGTCGACTTCTGTCCAGCCTGCTGTGAAAGCTCCGAGTTGGGCTGCAAAGAAATGATCCCAATCGCAAGCATCACAATCAAAGACTTCTGTTTCAAAGCAAGGACGTTCAACAAAATAGATTAGAATTTAGAGTACTGGGAACTGCTCCTAATCATTATCAATAAATAAAGGACCAAGGTTATCGTTGAGCTCGTATTCCATCTCCGGAGATGTGTAGCTGATGGGACAAGTTTCTATTTTGTCGGCTTCGGGTGTGAGAGATAGAGCAATACCTGAACGGTAATTATCCATCTTCTTGTTCCAGGTGCCTAGTGTCGACGTTTCAAACATGTTGTAACCTGCCTCTACCAGATTGACTGTCTGTACTGGTGACGAATGACCCTGACTGGCAGCATGTCAGTTGGGCACT